AGCCAATCACATGGCGGCAACTTAGTGCATTTAGGCATGTAGACATGGTCAAGACAATCTCCTGCAGTTCAAACCGAGCATCAGTATGGGGAAGAAAGGTGATTTGAGTGACTTTGAACGTGGCATGGTTGTTGGTGCCAGAAGGGCTGGTCTGAGTATTTCAGAAACTGCTGATCTACTGGGATTTTCACGCACAACCATCTCTAGGGTTTACAGAGAATGGTCTGAAAAAGAAAAAATATCCAGTGAGCGGCAGTTCTGTGGGCGGAAATGCCTTGTTGATGCCAGAGGTCAGAGGAGAATGGCCAGACTGGTTCGAGCTGATAGAAAGGCAACAGTGACTCAAATAACCACCCGTTACAACCAAGGTAGGCAGAAGAGCATCTCTGAACGCACAGTACGTCGAACTTTGAGGCAGATGGGCTACAGCAGCAGAAGACCACGCCGGGTGCCACTCCTTTCAGCTAAGAACAGGAAACTGAGGCTACAATTTGCACAAGCTCATCGAAATTGGACAATAGAAGATTGGAAAAACGTTGCCTGGTCTGATGAGTCTCGATTTCTGCTGCGACATTTGGATGGTAGGGTCAGAATTTGGCGTCAACAACATGAAAGCATGGATCCATCCTGCCTTGTATCAACGGTTCAGGCTGGTGGTGGTGGTGTCATGGTGTGGGGAATATTTTCTTGGCACTCTTTGGGCCCCTTGGTACCAATTGAGCATCGTTGCAACGCCACAGCCTACCTGAGTATTGTTGCTGACCATGTCCATCCCTTTATGACCCCAATGTACCCAACTTCTGATGGCTACTTTCAGCAGGATAATGCGCCATGTCATAAAGCTGGAATCATCTCAGACTGGTTTCTTGAACATGACAATGAGTTCACTGTACTCAAATGGCCTCCACAGTCACCAGATCTCAATCCAATAGAGCATCTTTGGGATGTGGTGGAACGGGAGATTTGCATCATGGATGTGCAGCCGACAAATCTGCGGCAACTGTGTGATGCCATCATGTCAATATGGACCAAGCTCTCTGAGGAATGCTTCCAGCACCTTGTTGAATCTATGCCACGAAGAATTGAGGCAGTTCTGAAGGCAAAAGGGGGTCCAACCCGTTACTAGCATGGTGTACCTAATAAAGTGGCCGGTGAGTGTAGATGGATAAGAAAAGAGAAGAGGGAGATGAGGAAGGCAAGGAATAAAAAAATTTCCCTTCGCGAACTCTCCTGACAGCCAGGGCTTAGTAAAGAAATGAATGGCTGAACGACAAAGGAAGGGGGAGAGAGGAGGACCAAACATGGAGGAAAGTAAAGGAGGAGAAGACAGAAGGAGGGTTCATGATCCATCTTCTTGCTCCTGACACCAGATCAATATTCACTGAACCATGGCAAAGTGCCCACATCTCTCTGTATTTCTCTCTTTCCTCCTTGTTCTCTATCTTGATCTTTCAGCCTAATTCATCTCTTCCCTCTGTTCTATTTTCACCTTTGTCACTGCCTATGACCCGCCTTACGCTGCTTAACAGACAGGATACCATGCCTTATCTAACATAGGTTTTTCATGGCTGATTCTGACGTCAGATTACCTCCCCAAGGTTTATTCGAATCAATACAGGTTCAATATAGGTTTACATGTTATTGGTGGAAATTATCCCGAAACACAAATTAAACACTTACACTGCTCAGGCTGTGATAGAAAAACTGAAACCCCACTTCAACACATAACATTTTGAGGGTATATTGAAGGGATATTTTAATTTACAGTATTATCATGTTGTGGGAGCACTTCACTGGAAAAGAACAATGCTTTTTTTTCCATCCATGTTGTTTTTACAATAAGGAGGGGTAAAATGGGTGTTGGTACATCCTGGCAAAATAATAACTTTCATTAGCTATGCCACCTAGAACTCTCAGACTCGTTGGGCCTGATCTACTAAGACCCGTAATAGCGAGCGCTAAATTGCGCGTGCAAACTCAAAAATTGCATGTGCTATTAGTGGGCTATCTGCTATTGCGGGTAATCTACTATCATTGTGTGTGCACTTGATAGCGGGAGCAAAAGTGGTGCCAACTGCCCTCTTTAAATGGGGGTTTGCATGCACTATGGGCTGTCACTATGGAGAGTTTGTGAGAGCAGAATGTTTGAAGCCGTGGAGTTGCATGTATCATTTTGGGGAACTGCATGAAAGTCAAGGAAAGTTTATTTGTACAGGACTATTCATACACACGACAATTCAAAGTGCTTTTCAGATGCAAGAAGATATACTAGAAATCAAAAAAGAGATTAAAATGATTTGAAATCAATAAGACAAACAGATACAAGTTTTCGTCTGTTTCGTGTTTGACCTTATTATTTACGAAAATCGTCACGTACCGGAGAAATGAAATAAATCACAAGCTTTTGGACAAAGATCATGACGTGTATCATGGCACTTCTGCCTCCTTCCCTCCACGAGGACCGTGCCTAATGCTGCTCCAGTTTGCACGTGCCTTTCAAACGTGCTGAATATAGATGCAAAAATAGCGACCCCATTCGGTTTCCGGGTTTGATAAATCCCATTGCGGATGCTAAATGATTTCATTTGCATCTGCTCCTCCCAGAATTTTGCATGTTCTGATGATCTACATACAGTACATTCTGCATATTCATGAAGGCAAACACCCTAAATCGATTGCGCGCACTGTTTTGCTCATTTGACAGATGCAATCCTCGGTGCACCTGGTTTGTAGATCAGGTTTGTGTGCGCTATCAAGTTTGCACGTGTTTTTGCACACGCAAACCTTTAGTAGATCAGGCCCCTTGTGTTTAGTTTGTGAGCAGTCTTCTCTCCAGTGTTGGCAGCAAACTTCATGGCATGAACATAAAAAAGAACAGCTTTTAAAAAAGCAAAATACTCGCATCATATTGTATGTATCCAAGCTAGTGTTGTGTTGTTCGCGAATGATTCGTTCAAAAGAACCGAATCTTTTAAGTGGATGTACTGAACCGAATCACTTTTTCAAGTTAATCGTTCGTTTCTCACTCGGTGCCTGTTCAGTGTAAATTCTTCACTGAATGTACTGTGGGGTAAACATTCAGTTAGCGAATCGCTCACCGAGCCCAGTTTACAGAGTAGACCAGATAAATAGCATACCATTGGACAGTACACTTACAACCTCATGATTTATGAACAAGTTCATTTTTACAAACCTGTTCGTCAAAGCAACACGGCCACAACACTCTCATCTCCAGGTCCCAGAAGCTATGACCTGAACTGAATCCTGAAACGTTCAGCTGTGCATCAGTTCAGGAAGTCAGGAAGCGCTTAATGATTTGGTGACCGAATCTTTTTAGTGAGCTGATTCTTGTGATTCAGTACATCTAAAAGAACTGCTGTGCCCATCACTAATCCAAGCCAGCCAACAGGATGAGTCTGGGGTCGCTGTGAAGTGTGTACCAGTCAGCTGGCCTGTATGTGTCTTTATTTATGTTGCAATGGATGTAAAGCAATTTCTCTACGATGAGCACTGCTACTATCTTTCGTATTTCTCATTTATTTATACTCTTAATTGAGCAGTTTTGTTTGAAGAAAAAAATGACGAGTGCAACCATCGGACCGGGATCCAACCCCCAGCCTCCCACTTGGGAGACAGCCTACTCCACCACCGAGCCACTGCCGCTCTAAAACTGTCTAAAAATGACCCAGCAGTCAAACTGGTTAGTGTGGTTGTTATAAAGCCTATCAAGTGTTTCCATGTTTTATAACTGAGTGATGGATGGAGAATTGGGGAGGGTGCTGAGATTGGTGTGGGGGCATGGGCAATAGGCTGTGACTTCTCATGTCGTTTCATAAGGCAGCAGATGTGCCATCAAATTCAATTAATGGCTTATCCCAGACTGAATGGCAGTGGTTGAGCCGTCACCAAAATGAGCTCAGGGAAAATGGATGCTTTTTTTTTTTTTTCTTTCTTGAAAATCTCTGTAATGTTATCACTCACCCAGGACTAACATGTGCTTCAACTTCCTGCCACTCACATCTCAGTCCATATAATCCTAGTGTAATGGACTGGCAAGAATTGATTATGAAACCTGACAGCAGCAGATCACTCGATTACTGGTGGCAAAACCTCCCAGAAAACACAATTATTTGAATCACATGGGAGGCACATACAGACCTGCTAATCCAATGAAAGATAATCAGTTAATAATCAGTTTCTCTGGAATTATATTTAAGTTGACGGATCTGATTTAAATTCTATCAACCAAACAGAAATCAATGTCCCTGGGGTCGGCTGACCAATCACCTTTCTACTCTAAATCTTCCATCTCAAATTGAACTGTGCTGTCCAATATTTAAAGATGTGTATTGATTTCAAATATGTCATGGGTTTATAAGATACAATGTAAAAGAAAAAAATTAAAAGAAAAAATAGAACATTTCATCGCTCAAGGACGTTTGTTGAAACTTTGATTGATAGCTGGAGGGTTGCGGGTGTTCAAGCTCATGATACATCTGCAGCAGAATTGGTGAGTACTTCCCCATCACGAGAGGTCTGGTAAACATACTACATTAAAACTTTCACTCCCATGAACAAAGCAGTCTTTGTGAATCTTGTCCTCCAAATGCTGAAGTATTTTCTTTGAGCAAAAATGTCATTCTGACTTTTGACATTAAAATACATCATTCATCATGAGTATCATAAGTAGAAATCAAACAGAGCTTTTTCTTCAGCTGCTCAGCTGATACCTAACCTTCTTACTAGTTTCAGAGCGTTAGAAATATACATGTACAAGCTTCCAGTCTTGTGCCTGATGGTCTTGTTTGATTTTGCATTCGGTGAAAAGGCATCAATATTAATTTAAGTTTATTTCATGTATGTCAAGAAACTTCAAGATACATTAACTGAATAAAACAGACTCACTTATATGTAAATGCAACATGCAGCAGGGTTAAATTGTGCATTTTCAAATGAAGTGAATAATATATGTAAACCAATCAAAGTGTTGGACTTTAGAGGCAGTAATTTGGTGACTGGAGAGAAAAATAGTGGGGGATGGATTCAGAGGATAAAAGGCAGCCAGCTCTGCCTGGCTGAAGTAGGGGGGACTTGTTCAGTGACAGGATGGGGTCAGGGGTTGCTGTGACAATGTCACTACAACCCCCCTCCTAATGTCGGTGGAATGCTGAGGAAGGACTTACATGCATGTCTCTGGAGAAAGGAGAAAGGGGATCGACAGCCGGTTAATGACTGCATGAAGGCATCAAACATCCATTCCAGTTTGCATCAAAGTGAAGACTAAACCTCCAGACGGTGCCAGACTGCTTCCACAGAACTGGATCAGGAGTAATAAAAAGAACAAATCAGAAAAGATCCCTGTGATGTTTTTGTTAGCCAGACAACTGATTGTTGTATAGAGTCTAATTTGTGTCATATTGGATAAAATATTAGCTTTTTTTTCTTACAAAAACTGGATGACAGTCTCAGAATCTGTAAGGACATTGCTGAACAGGTAACATTTGAGTTTAAGAGAGCATTTTGCAACTCTGTTGTTGTAGAAAAAAAAAAAAAAAAACTTTTTTTTTTATTAATATATACAGAAATAAAAAGCTGCCAAAAACTACAGTATTGACCACAGAGTGAACTTCTATATTAAAGGGGGCGTATTGTGCTTTTCCACATTTACAACAAAAACTGTAAAAGTAAGTTTGGTGTCCATACTACATGTATGCAAGGTTTCAAATCACAAGGTAGCCAAACATATGTTGTCATAATTAAAAAAAAAAAAAGATGTAAAGTGCTCAAATCTCGGACAAATGGCATTTACTTTTACTTTCTAACGTAAGAATTATCGTCTCTCCTTACTGGTTCATCTGAGCTTTCAGCAGAGGAGTCCAGCAAAACAGAACAGCGGACTCCAACAGTGTGTGCAGTGACATCCACAGTGGAGCGGGCTAACCATAAACATATAAAACATATATATCAAATACATTTAAAATATCAGGAAGAATAGCTGAATAGCTGCTGCAATATGAACGCTAACAAAGATCCTAATAAATTAAATTAAACTCAACCTAGAGCAGTGTCCTCAAGGTATTTCAATTTTAAACTTGAAAGGTTCATAAAGATTTTGTTAAGTGTTTTTCTTGTAGAGCTGTTATCTTAATATCAGATAAGAGGCAGTAGCTCTTTTTATTTCCTGTTATTAGGGAGATATTTTCTTGCCATCTGCATCTTGACACTTTGCGGTGCACTTTCTATGAGTGATAATTATGTGTCATTTGTTTATATGTTATTCATGTCTTTCATTTGTGTGTTTTGCTGACATTTCATGAGAACATGAGTCAAAGAAAAGCACAAAGCCGAGCTTGCCAACACACATAGACACAAACACATGACATGAGTGCATGCACACGCCTGTATTATGGCTCCGTTTAGTGAATAATGCATGAGATGTCTGTAAGTGTGTTTCCCGAGCAGATGCTCTCTTCTGACACTCATCCAACACTGGACTGCCCCCCACCCCACCCCCAACACACACACACACACCCACACCCTCAACATGTAAACACACATCCTGCTCAGAGGTCACACAAGGTTTCAGTGGTGGCCAGTGTAGCTGCAGTTACTAAAAACAAATACTGTTTTTTTTTTACTCAAAATGTTTCTTTGCTGCTTTACAGAAATAACCTCTTTATGCCTCACAATTATCATCAGAGGACTGGAGTCAAGGTTTTATTAAAACAATATTATTCTCAGAAAGCGAGGGAGAAGCTGAAGAGGCATCACATTGCCAACCAGCCTCTCTTTTTAGGTCTGCATCAATGTAACTTATCAAAGCTCCAGAAATCAAAATGAGAGGCTGCATTCAGAGGCTTTTGGAAATAAGAAATCTGCTGGCGGTGAGCACAGCCGTGTAATTTCCTTTCCTGACTCTCGGAGGCTCCTATCATGGCCATTGATCTAGTATGTCTGGGGGATCTCTCTGTCTCTGGTATGTCTGGGAAAAGAAACCAAAGGAAGAGAGTGGGGGAGGTAGGGGAGAAGGAAGAAAAAAGGAAGAGCAGAAGGAGGAGGTGGTGGTGGTGGTGGTGTGGATGACAAGATGAAAGGTACAGAGGAGAATTGAAGATAAACACCAGACCTGAAGAGAAGGGATGTGGCAGAAACGAGAGGAGATGGACCCTTGAATGGAGGGTAAACGTTGTTTTTTTTTCACTCCCTCTGCTGTGCAGTACCCAGTACATGTGAAACTCTTCCTCTTCAGTGTTGAAAGATTACTGACACTGATGACTTGGCCTGCAGTGAATCTGTAATAAATGTTTCTGTGTTCTCAGTAGACCACGCTTAATTTGCAGGATAATTTATTACCAGTTAGCACAAGGGCATGAGAGTCAGTCAGCACAGGGTAAATGCTGGATGAGGTTTCCACAATTCCATTCCTCATCCTGACAATCACTTCTTTTCTTCTCACTCTTCTACCATTCCTGTAGCGTGGCATATAAGTAGAATAAGCAAAATCTTCAAAGAAAATAGTGGTGATTCACCTAGCAACAATCAGTATTGATGCAGATGATAACACTGAAAGCTTTTCATGTCCGTGTCCACATTGAGCTCAGTGCAAGAGTCAGTGGATTCCCAGTTGTGAGGTTGGGGGTTCGATCCCAGCTCCTGTTGTCTGCAAGCTGAGGTGTCAGATTGCAGCATTTGAATGCACATCAATAGGAGCAGTTATGACTTTGGGGAACTGTAAAAAGCACTTTTGGGAACCTACTATATTAATGGGTGAATGTGACGTGGTATAATAGCACTTTGAGTAATTTGAGTAAAAGGGAAGAAATGGTATGGAAGTACAGTCCATGAACTATAAGGACAGCATTGTGTGAAAACATGAAAATGCTGATCAGAGCATGTTCAAAGGTTGAATCCATACAAAACTGCTGCTGCTCTACATGTTTTCTGTAGACTGTTGTCTTTACTCAAATCAGTGATATCTCAGCAGGTGTTTCACTTTGGACGGCTAATGGAAAGCACCTGCTGTGACATCACTGATTGGAGTTTGTGGTAAAAAGTGCAATGTACTTAACTCAGCATGAGCACTGCAGCAATTTTTCTGCTCTGTGTGAATCTCTGTTAAACGCCTTTTTCGAAAAGTTGTGTTTAATGTATGGATTAAAGGGATATTCCGGTGTAAAATTAAGTTAGGGTCAAACACACCGTAACACTGAGTTAGACACCCCCTCGAGAGATGAATGTAGCCAACCGCTTGCTTCTCCAGTTATACCAACTTTAGTAACGACCGCACGATAGCAATACACAGCAGTCTGAGGTGCCGTAAACAAACCTCAACCAAAAAGCCACTCTATAGCCACAAATAATGCTCAGAACAGCACCTAACTTCATCAACAGTACATATAGGGTCCCAGCCACAGCACTAGCCACCAAACATGGACTGGCCTGAGGTCTCGCTACAAACAAGCGGCTGCTGGAAGAGAGTAGGTGAGTTGTGTTTAGTCTCTTTGCTAAAGAAATCAGGCAAAGTTAAAAAAGATATTTGGTGGCTAGTGCTGTGTCTAGGACCGTTTATGTACTGTTGATGAAGTTAGGTGCTGTTCTGAGCATTATTTGTGGCTATAGAGTGGCGTGTTGGATGAGGTTTGTTTATGGCTCCTCAGACTGCTGTGTATTGCTATCCTGCGGTCGTTACAAAAGTTGGTTTAACTAGAGAAGCAAGCGGTCAGCAACATTCATCTCTTAAGGAGGTGTCTAACTCGGTGTTACGGTGTGTTTGACCCTAAATTAATTTTACGCTGGAATATCCCTTTAAGTGCTTTGACTTCCAGGAATAAAGCTTCATTTTGACTTCACGAAACACAGGTTGATTTTCACATAATGCCTTTGTGTTATTTCACAGACTTTCTTTGGATAAGGATAACCTTGTTAAGAATAATCTTGTGGTGTTTAATTTTCAGCTAGCTGAGGGAAATTGTGTGGATGCCAGGCCAATGGCTGCATGGTAATCAATCATATGGGTGTGAAAAATCAGTGTGATTTGTTATTATGGGAACAAAAGGGCCAATTTGTCACTCTTTTATGTAGACACATTCAGAGACTTGTATGCACACTCACAGAGAGAGGTAGTCTCTTTCAAAGCAGTTTTTGTGCTACAGTGTACATGATGTTGTTTGCATAGCAGAAATTAGATCATTCAAGAAACCCGGGGGTCACATTTCCTCAAAAGAAGGGAGAGAGGACAATGTGGAGGAGGAACTCAAGTATTCTTGCACTGTCAGAGAGAAAAAAAAGAGAGAGAGAGAGAGAGAGAGAGAGTTATACAGGTTTTTATCTGGCTGATGAGGAAGGAAGAAGAGCAAGTGCGTGTTCAGAGAGTAAAGCGTGAAAAAAGATAAGGAGAGGGAGGGATGTAGCTTGCAAAACGAGCCAAAAGAAGGGAGGGAGGATGCTGCCCTGTTGCATTTATATCAGGCCTGGTTCGAGTTGCTATGGGGATGGACGCACAGTGTAGACACGCTTCACCACGCAATGACAACTTGTCACCTTATCACTTTCTCGCACCCATTCTTGTTTTTTTTTATTCCCCCCCCAGCTTTCATGTCTCCCTATTCCCATATTTTCCCCTTTTCTTTCCTTCACTTCTCGAACTGCTTCCCATCCTCCCCTCCCTGCAGCTGATGTAATAATACCAGAGTGCTGGTGGCCTGGGACAAATAATCCTTTGAAAATCAAAAAGGAATAAAATCCCAATTTTATGGTTCATGTGTTGTTTTCCAATCATCATCCAATGGTGAATTTCTTCTCCTCAGTTGATATTATGCACAGTTAAGAAGTTCATTGAGTTTCTATTCCTCTACCCACACCCATGTCTTACAAAACTGGCTTTGCTCTCCATTATGTTGCCTTATTATTGTGTCATAAACTAAAATCCACTGACAAAAGCGAGAAATATTTAACAGTCTGTCTTTGGCCTTGAAATTAAAACTGTAAGACATGTCTTACATGATGTAACATGATTGCCCCCTGGTGGACTTATTTAGAAACCTTCTATAGAGGACTTCTGTGAAATCCTGTTTAATCATTGTGTCTCAATTTATTTTGTGTCAATATACTAGTCATCGATTTATCACATCTATGCTTTTCTTTGACCTCTATAAGACACAACTTCTGTTTATAAAAGCTCGAGCAAGATCACAGAGAACAAACAACTTCCTGAAAATGACTTATCTTTACTTATTTTGAGTTCCCTTAGACTTCTCTGAGGTTGTCTCACATGTGCAGGGCTTCATCTTTATATTAATCTGACAGGAATCAGCTACACTGAACAACCCCGAGGTGACAGAGGGGCACTGGGGCTGGAACTTCCTGATTAAAGTCACCGCTGTCCGGAGCTTTGAAGTTAGTAATGATATTGAGCTGTCATGGCTGACAAAATTTAAATTATGATGACAAGGAGATTGGCGATTGGTCAAGGGCTTGAAAGTGAATGTCATTAAATTGTGATCCAGTACATTTTCAATCTACCTAACTACCTCAATCTACCTGCAGATAATAAATGAAAAAAAAAAAATAGATGAACTAAAACATTTGTGTAGAATCTAAAGAAAAGACTCTAGGATAAAACAGCATGAATAGTGAGAAACAGTTTTTGATGCTTTAGTAAAAAAACAAGCAAGGTTAAATAGGGGAGACCGGGGCTTGTTGTCACACTTTATACACTCATATATATTTTGAAACCAATACATGGTATATAAACAAAATATGTACCAGACTAAAGGCCAAAGTTTCAGGTATATATTTTGTATTCATGTCATTTTTATATCTTGTGTCAGTGCAGAGTTATAATCAATCAAACGGAGAGTGTGAACATGTGACATGTTGCCCCACCATCAGGTAAGATGTCTCACTACATGGGGTAAGATGTCACAGTGGATTTTGCAGCTAATAAAACAAGAACAAAATTACTGTTGTTCTCATTTTTTTATATGAAAGTGAACATCAAAGTCAGGCACAGAAAATGTTTATCATTGAGTTGGAAAAAATCGTTGAACATAGCCATTAAACAAACGTTAACAAAATATTATGCATCATGCTCTGGAGTTTGGAGAGCTGTCTGACTCTGTATTTCAGCTGGGGTAAATGTTTTGCACTACCGAGCCAAGGTATGGTAGTTGACATTAAAGTCCTTTATTGTCCTCCAGATTGATTTATTAGCTCGGGTCACCTGCCTGACTGTCCTCAGCATCACGTCAGGTACTGCACTGCCATGTTCTGTTTTTCTTTTTTAATCCCTGACCATGTCTTCTCACTTTCTCCTCTCCTTTAGACCACTCTTTTCTCTGTAAAAATAAAGTCAAAATTTCAATGTGACAACTGCTGATAAGCAGACTCTTTATGTTCATTTTAATCTCTTTTAAACATGAGACAACCAACCCCAAAATGACTGAGACATGTTGCCCCCAAACTACCATGTTTGCTAATTCTAGCTCTAGATTAAAGTTAGTTTAAAACAGAACAATGACTGAGGTATGACAGAATGACTCAATCCCTCCTCTATCAAGTCCACGTGTATCACTGCTAGGATTTTTATCTGGTAGAAGCTTATTTTAAAATATATTAAGTTATTATGTTTTACTTTGGGTTGTGTGAAATGGTTAATTGGCGCGCTCATCTCAGCTCACAATGTGCTCTTCTCTTCTCAGACAGGACACGACCCCTGACCATGTAAAGGAAGAAAACTAGTATTCCACTTTTCAGTTGCGCCCTCTGGTGGCAAAGATAATTGCAATGTGACATCTTACCCATGTGACAACAAGCCCCGGTCTCCCCTATATAGAAAGGTCACATGGATGCACATGGCACTCTAGAAGTTCATCTGCTTTCCCAAATTAATTATAAATGTACTCTATAAGGTGCTCTAAATAGAAGAAGAAAGGAAACCCAAAACTGACATTTTCTTGAACTGAGTGACAGACTAATCAGAGGACCTCTTTAGAGTTTTTTTTTAACCTTAGAAATCATAAATCATCAGAGCTCAATAGAATCATAGATACGTAGATCCAAACAAACCACAGAGAGGATAAATACATGCTAAATTGGTTTGTTTTGAAATCTTTGGACATTTTCCTAAGCCTTTTCATATGTTTTGGAAACCTTATCAACTCCTTTGCACCTTGGCTCTTGTCAAAAGTATTGGAGGGAGACTTCATTTGGGATTGTGATTGCACAAAAAAAGTTCATCTTTGTTGTAGAAACAAGTTCACATGTGGTTTATGTTCAATAGAAATGCCAAAAACATTTTAAGACTGATAGTATGTTGCTTACCTATGCTGAATGGATTAAGGACTTCCACCAGTGTCACACATCAGCATCGCCCTCTGCTGGCAGCGTAAGAGAATAAATCCTTCCTCCTGTCACTTCTTATTCTGACCTGTAGGTGACAGCAGATACCAACATCTGAGAACATCTGAGTGTCATCAGGGAGGCCAATTTCACTGCTGTTTGTGTTCGCAATTATAGAGTCATTGAACCTCAAGCATCCTCCTCAGCTGTGGAGGCACACTATCATCACTATCATCTGTAGATCAGTGATGCTCAGTGTGTGTGTGTGTGTGTGTGTGTGTGTGTGTGTGTGTGTGTGTGTGTGTGTGTGTGTGTGTGTGTGTGTGTGTAAATGGGGGGTTGACTGCAAATAATGGGCCATAATTAAGGGTGAATGTTTACACACTTGCACACACACATACACACCAGATGCACACACATGGAATAGCCTGAGGTAATTTGGCGGGACTAAATGAGATTATCAGTGGCAGGGTGATTAATGAGCATCCCTACTGCAGAGCTTTATAATCACAAGTCCCCGCTCTACTGTGATACACACTAGCTGGAGCTCTGCGCAGGTACATATCAGCACCTGCTGCTAACTTCACCGCACCACCGCAACGGGAATCACAGCGACAAACGGAAATCTGAACTGATCACTAGGGTGCACATGCAATTTTTAATTGCTTTATTATGTAGAGATTAAATACTCAGGAACTAATGTAATGTATTTATTTAAGTATTTATATGATTCTAATGGCTGGCATGGAAGTTATAGTTTAATGTAATATATTAAATTGTATTCTTACATGCTTACTTATGGGTTATGGGGCACTGTCATAAAATCGATTATATGATAGAAAATTATATCTATAAAATTAAACAAAAAAGGGGGGCAGGATTAAAAAAACACACAAGTCAGAGTTTTTGTCAAATTTAAATGTGTAACAACATAAATATTGCTGCAAGCCGGGAAGCTTTATTGCTTTTTTCAACGGAGCGGCGTGTTCAGATTTTTTCTGTTACTTGCAAGGAATGGAGATTTTCTTTAAATAGAGCAAAAAGTTTAACTCCAATTAACAGAGACTCTTTCAGAAACTTGCCTCTTAACTGTGAGAAATTAAAATAAAAAATAAAAACATTATAGGGTTGAATTGAAACATCAATACCTGACCCATAAAAACAACAGTCTAAGAACTGAGTTTCACATCAGCTTATGGCCAGTATTCCTCCTCATGTGTGGGGATGTGACAAATAAAGAATTCACATTGTTTATACGCCGCAGTTCATTTAAATCAGATATAAATGACAAAGAGGAGAAGGTCGTATCTATCTTTATATCTGCAGTAAATTAAAGAGGATCATGTTTTTTACATATACAAAACACAAACACCATTCAGACGAATGCTGCATGACAGATAATTGAAAATATATATTCAGAATATACGTACATTCATCAGTCTAATGTGCTAATATTAAAGAATGCTTTATAAAGTTATGTTGCAGACTTTCGCATGTAAGGAACCTTAATTTATATTATGAGCGTCACCATCCTTTAACAACCAAATATTTTACTCTCACTTCCTCCTCAGCTGTGGACAGAGCTTTTTAACCATCTCTGTGTGTGTACACTTAGATCAGATAATGCTCTCTAAGTCTCTATAGTGAGCTGTTTGAAGTAGCTCCAGTGAACTGCAGCCCTCCCCCAGCCTTTGCCTCTTGTTCTGTGAGAACTGTGCAGTGTGTGCGGGGTGACGGGGTCAGGGTGACAGGGTCCCCTCCATCTCCATATAGGCTGTAGGCTACAGCTGCTCCTATGAGATTGGTACCTCAAATACGCACTGTGCCTTAGATGTCCCTGCATATGTGTGTGTGTGTATATGTGCGTGTGTGTGTGTGTGATAAGGGCCAGAGGATAGAGATGTCTTTATCGTGTTGGAGTGGGAGGATTATCCCATCACCGCTGTATTAAATACAAAGAGAGGAATGGTAGGCCAGTCAACCAGGTGCTGAGAACCCACCCTGACTGAAACCTTTCACCTTCACCAGTAGACCACAGTCTTCTCCCGGTCACTGCCTCTCATCATGTATGCTTCCACTGCGACATTAACAGTGTCAGCTCTTTTTATGCATCTGTCCAGTGTGGTATACTTTAAGTTTCTCGTTTCAATTAATGATAAAAAACATCTTAAGTCTGATTCTCGTGTACTTTTTGTTTCTAAAGACATACCACATACCAATTTAACCACAAATATGACAAACCACAGTACAGTTTTTTCATTATTATTATTATATACAAATAAAAGTACATCATAGAAAATTTAGGAATGTGATTACTGTGTCTTCAATAGATACAAGCTAGACAAGACTGAATAAGTCCTGTTGTAGATAAACTATCTTTTGTTTTTTACCGGGTTTGTTGACAGTGATAAAATATTGAATATTTACAGTCTTACTCTGTTGATTGCTGGTACAGCTTATTTCTACATTTATAGGTAATTTGCAAGAATACTTAGTGTGATAGCTCGATCTGAAAACATGTCAGGTAATTTTCATTTGCCTTTAATGGTTTATTATCATTCCTTAAAGCATTAATACATTATTGATTGACTGCATTATTGATTTGATTTCTTTTCTAACAAACTGTATACTTTTAAAAATAATTTCTATTTATGAAACCTTAATAAAAAAGATCAGAAATGGTAAAAATGGAACAGGACATAAGCATGTTATGAAATTTTAACAAGGTCATTATTATTTCGTGACGTTTCTGCACTCAACTTGAAACAAATCTCATCTCAAATCTTAGCAGTATATTGTAGATATACATGAAACACACTGGATTAATATAAACCTTAGAAAAATGAAGGTGAAACAGGTGATAAAAGCATCACTGAAGCACATTTGGAAGCAGAATTTCAACGTCTAATCATCACAGCATTTCCAAAACATTTGCTGACACTGTTGCTACAGTTTCCAAGCTCTGCTGGCCTAAAGCGGAGCCACAAACTGATCCCAGCCACAGAGCGCTTTGTAACATGTGCGTGTGTCTGTATTCTTCCCATTTATCATTTCCACCATCTACGCACGACTACTGTTTACCCTGACCTCATCACTATTCATCTGTTGATGCCTCAGCACTGCCTTGTTTGATTGTTTATCATCCTAAATAAATATGTGCTGTCGAACAAAAGAATGCATACAGCGGGAATATGAACTGCTCTGCTTCGGCTTTTTGAATCACTAACATATGAGATTGGAGGCAGCGGCGCCGTTGTCCACGCTGAGGATCTGCTGATGTTTGTGTCTTCTCTAAATTGCTCTCTTAAATCACAAACTGACAAAACATATTGACACAGCAACTCCAGCGTCATTTTAAGACCACAAAGTGTAGTGCTGGATGCTGTACGGTTTTGGATTTGATAGTTTAATTGAGAAAATAATGCCAAAATAGAGTTTTTAGAGTGAATAGATAAAGCTTTAAACTATATGATACATCTATATGAGGTACAGTCTCCTTCTTCTCCTTCAGCTCTGCCCACAAGCACACTGCCATTTAAAGCAGCTGAATAATTGAGGAGTAACATTTGCGTCAGGCTTCCTGTTGTGTGTGTGCGTGTGTGTGTGTGTGTGTGTGTGTGGTGGAGACTGAAAGTGACACATCATAGGAGCAGGTCAAACACACACATGCACACACACACTCTGGAGTGTCTGCAGCTGGAAGGGCAATTATCAGCCTTGCTGTTATCAGGTGTCATCCAGCGGCCACTAAAGATTTAGTAGATGTAATAAATCTGCACAATTTAGATTGAATGAAGAGCTGTTGAATTATCTAATCCTCCTGCATCAAAAAAATACGTATTGGTAAATAAAATGTTTCAACCAAAGAGCTTTAAAGATCTTAACCAACAATAATTCTCTGACTTCTCTTCACTCTGTCGTAGACTCCTGGGTTTCTCTTGAAAATAGGAAAAATTCTGTTCACAAGAATAACTTCATCTGGGTGATTGGGCTTTTTTTTTTCACTCAAGCCCAGCGGGTCTTCTTATTGATGTGTTTTTCAAATTTTTTAGGACAATAAAAGAGTTAAATTGCTCGAAGAAATATACTTCATCTGACTTGGACTATCCTGGCAACTGTTTCTCAATTTAACATATCGTCAGCTGTGTTTTTCATATGGCATTTTCTTTTTCTTCTTGCCTTTTATTTAGTGTTGTTTGTTTAAGAGATAACATATATCTCATTTTTAAACATGTACACAATACTAATGATTTAAATCTAATGAAATCAGTTACTTCTCAGTGTTTATCCTTGAGCCTCAGGTTGAAAACAGCTGCAATGCCACGACTGAACCTGAAGACCGTTCTCTCAGTTTGTTGATAAATGAGTGCCCCGACTCTTTGTTTCTCTTGTCATAGTTCATAACCCTCACCTCTGAACCTCAGTGTATTAAAGGTAACTGAGGCCAACCAGAGGATTAATCCCAAAAATGGCTGCTTCACCCAGCTGTTTATCCACTGGCCCTTTATGAAGAGAGGCTCTCTAACCTGAATGAATACTGTTTCACTGGGAAACACAGGCAGACACAATTAATCAAAGCAGTGTGTAACGCCTATATGTGTGGGTGTGTGTGTGCGCGTGTCTGGTTTCATGCCGCACACCTCACACGAAAGTTTTCACACTGTGTAGTGTTTCTTTAACCTCTCCCAGACTCCTCCAGGCCTCAGCAGGAACGAAATCACAACAGACTTAGGTTACACATGTCCTACAGAGTGTGTGTTTGCATATGTGTGTACGCCTGCATGCCTGTGGGTGTGTGTGAGTGTGTATTGCAAGACCCTCAATTTCAACAAGGATTAGCTCTGTATTTTCCTTTCATCAGTTTTCTGATGGATCCCCCAAATATGTCCGAAATCAAATTGGGACAAGCAGCGCCCTGTGCGGATGTTTGGTCGGTAAAGCCCTTCTACCCTGGCGGGTTTGAGGCTGTTGAACCTTCTCTCAACAAGGGACAACACCCCTGCCCACACACACCCAAACGTACCCCTAAGTCATTACAATAATCCCCCTCAGTCTGGATCTGGAAGTAGAGCAAGGACTCCTCGAACT